AATATGCCCGTATAGGTAAAGAGTTTGGACGTAGAAGGACAGGGATTTTGTTTGCAGTTCTGCCACCTCTGCTTAGTTCTGGCTTTGTGCCTCTTTGTGCCTCTGCTTTGCCCCTGGTGTCACATTGGCCTGTTTGGAGAGCCTTTCTAGAGAATAGATTAAACTCTTTAAGTTTAGGCAGTGTAGTGTATAAGGGCTTTAAAGGCCCTCACATTTATTATAAAAATAAATAACCCCCTTGGCAGACAATTGGTATGTTTATTTGCATTTTTTATTCTGTCTTGTATATACTTCTTGTCCTTATTTTGCACATTTCAAATATACCCCATCCAATATTTTCCTCAGACAGCTTTTATTTAGATACCTAAATAACAGCTCAGACTTCCTGGAAAAATTCCCCCCGTTGCCCTCAGTTTCAGAACCGAGACACTTATTTGTGTGCAGTGGTTTCTCATTTTTAAACTTGGGCCATTGCTGCAGTTTTGGAAAGCAGGAAAAAGTAGGCACTGTATTATGTAAACCTGTTATCTTGTAGATTTTGGATGTCTTGAAGCAGTAAATAAACGTTAACGTGGCCTTCTGAGCAGTGCCATCTGTCTGTCCCGTTTGCACCAAGGTATTTTTATTTTAAGATAAATGTATGTTGAAACTTGTAAACTGAGTCTGTTGTATCAGCTTCATCTCTCTTCAGAGCAGGATTTGGAAAGTACTTCACAAAATTGGTGGCAAGGGATTGCAGCTAATGGGAATTTATGTCTATATCTGTGTCTATATATTGCTATATAAATAAAAGTATCCGATTTTAGTAGAACAACAATAAAACCTAATAGGTTCTCCCAGTTTTGAAATGACAGTGATAAGTTATCATACCGGCATCCTCCTGACCCAAATCCCAGGATGCCTTTGGTTGGAAGAAAGAAATCTGATGTGAAATACGAGCAGTGTTTAAACGGAGCGAAAATCGTTTGCTGAGTTTTATGTGAATGTTGTTAACGGATGTGGGTGATTTTGTAATGCATCAGCAGGTACTTGTTTTGATGGCTGGCGTGTGCATTTTATCGATGCTCAAATTTGCTGTTTCTCATTCCGCAGAAATACTGGAAAATGTAAGACTAATACATAAACCGGTGTCTTTGCAACCGCGAGGGCTGATCAACAAAGGAAACTGGTGCTACATCAATGCTGTATCCTTACTTGAAAAAAAACCCATGTGCTTAAGTTGAAATTTGTATATTTGTCAAAGATTTTTATGGATTACTCGTGTAAGTATTTTATGGAAGTGTTTGTCTTCCCATATCCAGCTACTGTGGTTAAAAATGCTTCAAGGTCGCATCGAGAAACGCAGGGGTATTGGATCATTGAGCCTGGTGTCCATGGTCCCCCTACACTTGGTTGCACAATTCTGTTTGCAGAATATTTGCCAAAATGTTTCAGTTTACCATAACTTTCTCATGACTTAAAACCTTATAACTTCTAGTTATATTTACTCATGACTCTGTGCATCAAATTGAGTGATTATTTCTCTGTTGTACCTAAAATAACCTTTCTTAAGCATTGTTTTTTGGCAGTTTGGTGAGTGGATCGTTTGGTTTTCAGTTGAGCAGGCTGTCACTGTCATATCATCTGTGTTAATGCGGAGTTTAAAATAACCCTTTAACAACGGGATGGAAGATTAGCTCGCTCTTAATGCATTAGAGTTGCATTCCCCTGCAAAAATGACTAACAGAAAGTAATTAGGGAACAGAAATCCTCCTCTTTCAGTGCTGTGTTATGTTAATGATTAATGATTTTTTAATTAAGACATCTGTATCTTATGTTAGCAATGGCTTACTGCAAGCGACAGTTGGGATGCTTTTACTTTAACTGCTAGTGAAAAATCTTAATTTCAAGACTGATGATTGCAGAACCCAATAACCTGTTTCCACAGCAGTGATTCTCCTTCAAACATCCGCTTTTATCTTGCATAACCAGGTCTGTGCTCATCTGATTCTCTGTATTGGCTTCCATTTTTTCAGGCTTAAAGTGTTACATGGGAATTTGGTACAATTTTTGCACACTGTAGGGATTGAGTTAATACATCTCTAGCTCTTGAGATCGCTGGCTTTTTTGCCATTTCCCTTCTCCTCCACTCTTTGAATATATTTCCTCTCGCCACTGATCTCACCAGGTAGCACGGACTTCGATGGTTTTAAAGTATTTTCTTCCATCATACGCTGTAGTTTTACTGATTGCTCCCAAACTCTTATTCTACTGCGCAACGTTTGGCATCACAGCGGGGTTGTTTTTGGTTTATTTCAGCTATGGGGATGAATCTGGACCTTTCTCTTGAAGTCTGTCAGCCGGCTGCTTCTGTTCTTTCAGAAAATGTGTTACAGATTATAACTTGCTAATTTTCAAATTGTTAATTTTATAAAGTCTTTTCTGTGAAAGTTCTTTTCCTCTTCCGCTCCTAAAAGAAATGTTTCCTTCCCCATTACTTAAAGCTTTTGATAGTGTTAAAATGTCAGTGAAATCACTGCCTGTACAGGATGCCAGGTTTGCTTAGTACAACTTCTGTGCGTTATTAATTAATGTTGTGATAAAAGTCCATCTGTTTGAATCTAGTTACTAAATTGGTCTACATAATAAAGGGTTAGCTTTGTTTTGCAGATTGTTTTCAATATAATTGTGTATTTGGTTAATACGCAGACTGTATTTTCTGAATGTTTCCTTAATGCCACCGTGTAGACCCTGCAAGCCCTGGTTGCTTGCCCTCCAATGTATCATTTAATGAAGTCCATTCCAATGTATTCGAAGTCGCAGCGGCCGTGTACCTCAACACCAATGATAGACAGTTTGTAAGTAGCTTGTTCAAAATAAAACAATGTGTGATCTGACTGAGCTCATTCAGAAGTATCTGACAAATTGCTGTTTACTGCAGTTGCTGAAAGTTGATATGTATCCAGAAGCCTTTTTTGTGGTGGTTTTTTTGATGATTTGTAATACTTTTTTAGAATGAACGTGGTATTTTACGATTGCTTGACAAGTCAAGGAAGGTATTTCCTGTTGCTTCAGGAATATCAGCTTTAAATAATGTTCATTACACCAAAGTAAACCATGAGAGCTGCAGGAGCTGACCTACCACCTTGGTTTTGTTAGCAATGACCAGGTTAATTTTTGTGTCTAAACTTTACTCAGACTTCGTTGTGATATTCTTCAGTATTTTTTATTGGCAGTCAGTAATGACAATGATCTAATTTTCTTATTTATCCTTCTAAGTCTTGACTTGCTGCTCATGTGTAGTTGTTCCTTCCGTTCTGTTGCAGTGTTCGTTTAATGAATGAGTTCACTAATATGCCTGTACCTCCTAAAGCAAAACAAGGTGAGTGGGCATAGGGGGAGAAAAGACTTAAAGTCATGACAAGAAGGCTCTGGGGTAAGGAACTGCATTATGTGATGTACTTAAAACTGTTAAATACTGGTGCTCGATCCCCTTCGTGGCTCTGTGGACTTTTGGGATTTCTGGATATCTTAAAAAATTTTGCTCTTGTTTTTCTGTCTGTGTTATGCTTTTTCTTATTTATGATTCACGTCAAGAAGTCGTAGATGCTGCACCTTTTGTTTTCTTCTGTGTGGTAGACCAAATGTACAACTGCGATAAGAACAGTTTTTGTTGAGGAGAAGATTTATCTTCTAAGAACAGAACCTTTCTAACAAAATAATTTGGTATTCTCTGTAATTTACTCCACTTCCCTCCTTACATATTTCCACCTCTTTTGTTTATCAACTTGCTTGGTTCTGTTATTCTTCCCTAAATAATAAATACTCAGATTAATTGTAAACAAAGCAGGGTCATAATAGGTCTCTTTGGAAGTTCGAGATGTCCTGCAGGAATGTTATGGCTTTTAATTCCTCCCCATCCTATGCACTATTTCAAAGTGAAAATGTTAAAGTGTGTGGTTCTTGCTAACGCATCTTTAGGATCAGTGAGGTTTATGTAGCCAGGAACAGAACATTGTTTTGATGCAAATAAATGGTAGTTTTCATTCTTTAAAATTTCTAAATAAAATCTGCTGTATTACAAATTGATAGAAGTAAAAAACAGTTTCAGGAATGTGTTTATGTAACGTTATAAGAAAATATCACAAGGAGCTGGTGGTTCCAGTGATTTCCAAACAGTTCAGACATTTTTGTGGTTTGCTGCTTCAGATTTGTTTCTGTAAAACAATTTTTAGTGTCTTATGCAACTCATTGTACTTCTGGGTCATTTTATGGCATTGTGTAGTTTTCAGATACAGTTTCTGAGGCTTTGTGTTGCCACTGGGTTGAACATTGTGTCAAAATGTTTCTTGGTTGGTTTTAGTTTGGATTTTTGCTGCAGTGAGAACAGGTGATCTGTTAGAATTATAAATACATTTAAGTTTTAAGGAAGTATTCTTTGAATACAAAAATTTTAATAGAACCTGACTTGTTCTTTTATGATGACTCTGCATTTCCTTTTAGTCCTCAGTGTTGACTAGAAGAAGAGTGCACTCACTTTTCCAGACTGTCTGTGTCTGTATAGGGTGATACATAAGATGTTTTTAAAAAAACATTTACAGGTAATAGTGATATCCTAGGAATTTTGAGCCTGAGTCACTGAAATAGTAACAAAACTGTTAACAAAAATAATTTTGCGTTCCAAAATCTAGTGATGTGTGAAGAGAATGTTCATGTATGATGCATAGAAACTTCTGTACGTGGATGTTTATGTGTACTTCTCTTTGCCTTGCAGCTTTAGGCGATAAAATTGTGAGAGACATCCGACCGGGAGCTGCCTTTGAACCTACATACATTTATAGACTGCTGACAGTTATAAAGTCCAGTCTGTCAGAAAAGGTGTGACTTACCAATCTTTGACTTTGCTAATTGCATTGCAAAGCAATCGCTGTTAAAACAACGTAAAGCCTTACGTTGGGTTCTGTGCCTCAACATCACTGAAGTCAGCTGGTTTATAGTTCATTACAATGAAGCTAGACTGCCTTAGGACTGAAATTATAGGAAGGTGTTAATTATAAGTTTGCCAGTTTGATATGTCCCAATAATGGAAAAAATACGATTGGAATAGAGCATCTCTTTTTATAAAGATGATACCTATTGATTTATACTTAAGAAATGAGCAGTTCATTTCTGCTTCAGATTGAGCTTGGAATGGTTGGTGGTCCAGAAAGACTTCAAAATACTATTTCAGGTTTGGTTTCAATTTAAAGAAGAAGGTAATAGATCAAGCCATCTTTTGATTTGGCCTTGATTTGCCAGCAACTTTTACTATTAACTTTTAAAAGAAATAGCAAAACCAAAAAAGCTATGAGCTCCCATGTTAAAGCCAAAAGAACGCAGAGATGCTTGTACTCAAGTCAAGCTCATTTGTATGCTTGCTGTTTATGGCAGGGTACCAGTTACTGCGCTGGTTTCTTTTGAACTGGTTAGAAATGAAGGGTTGTTATAGTAAAATTCAAACTTTATTTGACTTTACAACTTAGACTGAGTAGTTGGTAAAGTAGCTAAATGAAAGCTGTATGTTCATTGTCAGGAACTTTCTGTTAAAATTAAAGCATGGAAATATCATAAAATAATTTTAAAAAACCCATTTTATTCAGGGCAGGCAAGAGGATGCTGAAGAATACTTGGGATTTATCCTCAATGGACTCCATGAAGAAATGCTGACCCTAAAGAAACTTCTCTCTCCACACAATGAAAGTTAGTGGGGTTTGTTTTGTTGCCAACTTAGTTTCTTGCATTTATTCTCCTTTTTTGTGTTGATTTTGTCATAGAGAATTTATATATCGGTTTATATTTGATATAAAGAAGAACATATTAAATTATTTTTAAATTCTTATTGACAAAGTTGGAGGAAAAAATTCTTTGGAAGAAGTATTAGAGGAGTAAAATGTCATTTTATTTTATGGTGGCTTTATGTTTGGGTCCCCTATTGAAAATAAAACAGTATGCTGTTAGTCTTGGACAAGTACAGAATTAAGATCACTAGTTATCCAGTTTCTCTTTAGTTGGGTAAATTTTTTATGATAGAAATTGGTGATTCCATATTTTGTTCTTTAGCTGTGTGCCGTTTATAGCCTCCTGACTTCTGGCACTTGCAAAGAAAATATTTGCTAAGCCTTGGTTTCCCTGTAAAATACCTACGCAGAAAAGGAGTTGCATTTAATAATGGCATAATTATGTCTCCAGAATAACACTTGGCTTTCTAATTTTCTACCCCATGAATTTGCTGCTAAAAATATATCAAACTTTGCTAGAAAATGACATCTGTTTACATACAGTCATCAGTGAGCTGCGTTCTGTTAATATATGGATGTGTCCAGCTATGAGTGAGCATGGAATATGCTGGTTGTCATTTACTTTCTCAGTTCTGTGACCTCTGAAAACATTTTATCCTCTCAAAATTATTTGTATTGGATTTCTTTAATTTCAAATTCGTTATGTGTATACGTGTTTTACTTGTAAAAAAAATCAATGTGTTTTTTTTCTTCTTCCCTTTAAGAACTCTCAGTTTCCAATGGCCCTGAGGCTCAGACTGTTCAAGAAGAGGAGGAGCAAGATGAACAAGGGGAAGGCAGTGAGGATGAATGGGAACAAGTGGGACCTCGTAACAAATCATCAGTCACTCGACAGGCTGACTTTGTCCAGACTCCAATTACTGATATTTTTGGTGGTCATATAAGGTATAGTACTTTTCGTAAAGGTTGTTGAGACCATATCACAGAATCCCAGAACGTTAGGGACTGGAAGGGACCTCCAAAGCTCATCCAGTCCAATCCCCCTGCCGGAGCAGGAACACCCAGATGAGGTTACACAGGAAGGCGTCCAGGCGGGTTTTGAATGTCTGCAGAGAAGGAGACTCCACAACCTCTCTGGGCAGCCTGGGCCAGTGCTCTGTCACCCTCACTGAGAAGAAGTTTCTTCTCCAATTGAAGTGGAACCTCCTGTGTTCCAGTTTGTGTCCGTTACCCCTTGTCTTATCATTGTTTGTCACCGAGAAGAGCCTGGCTCCATCCTCGTGACACTCACCCTTTAAATATTTATAAACATGAATGAGGTCTCCCCTCAGTCTCCTCTTCTGCAAACTAAAGAGCCCCAGCTCCCTCAGCCGCTCCTCAGAAGGGAGATGCTCCACTCCCTTGATCATCTTTGTAGCCCTACGCTGGACTCTCTCCAGCAGTTCCTGTCCTTCTTGAACTGAGGGGCCCAGAACTGGACGCAATATTCCAGATGCGGTCTCACCAGGGCAGAGTAGAGGGGGAGGAGAACCTCTCTGCCCTACAACCACCCCCCTCCTGATACACCCCAGGATGGCATTGGCCTTCTTGGCCACAAGGGCACAGTGCTGGCTCATGGTCATCCTGCTGGCCACCAGGACCCCCATATGCTGCTTTGCCTTTGCAGATACTCTTTTCCTCTGTATTCTCTATTTTTCACCATTATTGGATAGTTGGATGAAAGAGAGTGTGATACAGTTTGTTGAGGCCAGGAGAGGTGAACGTTCTGCCATGACGCGTTTGTTATGCGAAAGAGAGTTCAGAAGATGAACCAGAATGATCAAAGGGATTGGTCAATGATCACATGAGTCTATGACTTACTGTAAAGTCTAAATGTTTTCAAGTGTCTTAAAGGAGCAAACTGTTTAAAGAACAAAAGCCTTGAGTTGCATATAAAGAAGGAGTTTCAAATATGTGTGCTTTGTATGTTGATAATAATATCTAATAATTCCAAAGAACTTAAAAGCTATCTAATTTTTGTGACCTCTGAGGAGTCTTGACTCATTTTATAATTAAGGATACTAAGGGACAGTGAGATTTGCTAAGAGTTAAGTCTGATCAGTAAAAGAATGAAATAAGACACTGTAAACTTCTGGTTGTTTAGACGCTTACACTTCCCAGAGGCAGGAGAGTTACATGTAGTAGTTAATAAATAAAATGCTAAAAGTGAAAGAAGTTTGATAAAATGTAAATTATTACAGGATGTTACAGGAATGACAAGAACGTGAGGCATTACTGATGTTCTGGTCTGATCCCGGGTGAAGGCAGAAAGTAGATAATGGAAGAAGATTTTTTGGAAAGGAAGCTTTATGACTTGCTTGGAGAAATGTAGAATTTAAAATGAAAGCAAGGTAAACACTTGGTAGAAACGTATTCCAAAACAAAAATGCTAGACGTGAAGAATTATTTTTAAATTGGAGACAGACACTTAATTGCTAGTGTTTGATTCACCGTGTTGCCAGGTCTAGAGGTGTGAATAATGTGGGCTAGTGCCTTCTGCCTGCAGAATGCACTGCAAATTATTCTTCAGGGATTTGAGTCAGACAGCTGGCAAATAAAAGGATGTTTTCCATAGAAGTTGGCAGACAGACGTTTGTACCTATGGATGAAATTCCACATTGATGGTATGTTCATGTACCCGAGGGACTGTTAATACCCTTAGTGTATTTACCATGATCAGAAATGTTTAGATCTCTACATTATTCCATTAGTTTTTAAATTAAGAATGCTAATAGAATGCTGTCTTCAGTAGAAGTCCACTGGAAATGATAGAAAGCAAAGGAAATATTGAAAAAAAGCAAAAACTTGCGCTGAGCGACAGGACCACAGGGTCCAACCCAACATCTGTTTTCTGCTGTCTCCACATCCCTTCCATTTAGCCTCCAAACTAGGTCACACAATTTACCGCAGAAACAGTATCCTGTGGTGTGATGTTGGAAAGCTTCATCCTCTGAGGCCGAGGGTGGAGATAGGAAGGGTTGAATACAGATTTGCCAGTCAAAGTCCACGAAATGAAAGCATCAGAAATTGGGAAAAGCAGCTAGGAAAACATGGTTTGAACTGGCATCTTTTGGGTTGGGAAACTTGAGTCTGTCCTTGAGGCTTTAATTGTCTATTAGGCATGATTGCGTAAGGACCCAAAACCCAAAAAAAAATCTTCCTTAAGCCATGCAAGACGTGAATCTTTAAGTACAGAGATACACAGTTGTGTCAGGACCAGGGTTGTTCATGTGTGTGGGTCCCTTTTGACTTTCAGCTTGTGTGAATTTCATATATGTGCTATGCAAGCAAGTTCACAAGCCAGTGAGAAGTCTGCTGAATATTTCCGTTAGTAGTACCAGCTTTTCCCTGCAAAGGCACTGCTATTTTAAAAGAAAATACACCAATGACACTGTTGTCATTTCAGCAGGGTAGCAACGGGCAGCGCCTGATTTCCTAAAAAATTCTTACTGTAGAGTTCCTATAGTACCCAAGAATAATTGTTCACTGCAAATGATGCATTTTCCCTTGGCCGATTGAAATCTGTAATTATTTTAATAAGCGATGTTGTTAGAGAAAATCGTAGTCTAGCAAAGGTTTTACTACCCAATCCATTTATGCGTATCTTTTTGAAGAAATGCTACGATTTAATTTCTAATAATGAAAAATAATCCTTGACGTTATCCTTCCATAATATTATCCGTGTTATTAATTAAATCTTTAATGCGTGGCCTTGAAAACAATTAGAGGCGTTAGCATTTTTCTGTTGATTATGTCACTAAATAATGGGTAGCTTCAAAAGGGGGTTGGGAAGTGTGTCCAAAAGCAGCAAGACTCACACAGTGAAGGGCTTGTTTGTTCAAACACCGCTTGCCATGTGTTGAAGGTTTTGTCCTTAAATATAGCCAAGGAGGAAGTGTTCAACTGAAATAAAGATGGTTCTGTGTTTCATACGCTCCCTTTCCACTAAAGGACGTATATTTGCCAATATAAAGATGCAGTGGCTTTCTGTCGGTGCTTCGGGGCTTTGCCTGAGTCAAAGGGGCTCTTTTGGTAGGAGTTTGCATGCATTAAACCTTTGTAGTAACATTTTGTACATGGCCTGGAGAAATTTCAGCACGGCTACGTGGATTTGAGCTGTGTTCATTGTCTTACCACTTCCAAGCTTTGGGAAGCACTCTAACAAGCATAACAATGTAATACATGAATGATTTCTTTGGCTGCATAAAACCACATTTTTGTAGCAGCTGGGCCTTTTCAGCGTAAGTACTGCTTTAACAAAAATACAAGAAGGAGGCATGTTTGATGGGTTGAAGTTTTCCACGAAGTTTCAGTAACATGAAAATCAGGAAGAGTCCACTTAGTGCAGTGACGTTGTGGCTGAGGAGTGCACTGTCTCATTGCGCAACACAGGGATCACCGGGCCAGGCTACTTAAAGGCTGCGACTGAATACACTTCAAATAAAAACAAAACCCAAAGAAACAGGAAACGTGTTCTCATGCCCTAGGTCGTTACTGCTGCCAGTTTTCCAAAAGGCAAGTTTATGGACAAAGTCTGGACACAGAAAATGATGGAAGGAAAAGGAAATGCCAGTCCTCGACGGAGCAGAGTTTATATTTCCTATGGCACAATTTAAGCAAACAATTTAAAATCACAGTGAAATCGGTCTTAGTGAAGTGACGAAAAATTTGCTTATTTTTGTTGGAGAATCTGGAACCGGTTGTAATTTTTACAGTAAAATAATAGATAAGCACCAGTATTTTGTACTTCTGAAGATCTGTTGGAAAACATAATTTCTAAACTCTTAACATGGAAATGTAAATGTATTGTCAAAAATTTAAGTATTTTTCCTTAAACTTTCGATACTTACCCAATAACTGTTTGGATCTTTGCATAAATAAAACAATTCAAGTATAATTTCATTCCGTATGCTCTTAAGTGGGTGTGAAAATCATTTAAACTGCAGTGAAGTGGCTTCAGGTTGTTTAAACTTAGGCTTAACCTTTGTATTTGGGTGTTCTGTTTTGGATTACCTAAAAATTGAGTTACTGAAGTAGACTCTGTTCTTACTTGAGGGTTCTATAATGTTAAAATGTAATACAGAGTGATTGTCACCGTTTTTGTTTCCGTAGGTCTGTTGTTTACCAGCAGAGCTCCAAGGAGTCTGCCACACTGCAGCCTTTCTTCACCCTGCAACTGGACATCCAGTCAGACAAGATTCGCACAGTGCAGGATGCGCTGGAAAGTTTGGTGGCGAGAGAGTCTGTCCAGGGCTATACCACAAAAACCAAGCAAGAGGTGTGTTCTGTTGACCCCCTTTTTTTACAGTCAAATACTACACTTCTTAAAAGGGTTTTTATACAGCTCTTGCTTTACAAGTAGTTACTCGAACGCTTACTTATGTTAACAACAGAGGTACTAACCTGCAGTGGTAAAACTTACTACAGTTGAACACATACGCTGAAAGGAGGAGAGCTGACTCTTAAAACCATGCCTGTAAATAGGTTGGTGTAGTAATTGGTTGAAGATTTCACTGGAGTGTATATTAAATTAACAGGCTGAACTGTGGTAATAATACATAGTAGTATGAGTAAAATAGCTTCTAGTGGATCTTAGCGTACTGATTCATGGGGATCACCAGATGTTGTTAGTAAAGCAGCAGCTCTTCAGGGTGTCATCTGAAAGCATGCTGTAGCTTTAAAAAGGAAACTTATAGCAGAGCACTTGCCTGGTTGTCTGTCTGGCTATCCTCAATGGGTTTGAACTAACATATTTCACAGATCAAAAATGAAAATATTCATTGGTACTAGACCTGGTAGAAGTCCATCTGGAACCTCACTAAAACGTCTGATCATCACTGTCTTTCTCTCTGGATTAATAATTTGAAATCTTTCGATAGCCAGTAATGCATCCCTTCAGTGTCCTTGGCACTGCGTCGTTGACTGGTGTGCTGTACACAGCCCTTAAAAACCAGCTTGGCAGTAATACCATAGTCAGTTTGAAGTCTCAGATCAAGCAAAATGTTCTTCACAGTTGGAGAGTATCTGGAAAAGAGCAGCCAAAATGAATGGCAGTATAAAAGTTGTGATGTAAAAGGGTTGAGTGAGGGGAAGGAGCTGTTTGGCATCAAGAAGAGAAAATACGGAAGTAGAGGGATGGAACCAGATGTAAAACTTAATATGTCAAAAGCAGCTCTGGAAAGGAAAAGACTGACTTTACTCAGTGATGCTCAAATGGTAAACGGGAATAGGATCTAGACTAAGTGTTACCTGTGGGGGACTCCTCTAAGGAGGGGGATTCCTCTAAGGGAATTCTGTGAGTCGTTACAGTTGATTCAGAGGGGATGGAGTGGAGGACCTTTGAGATCTCCAAGCCCTATGATACCCTGTCACTTAAAGTACCAGGACATTTTGGTCTGTATTCTCATGTGGCTCTGCAGATATTTTTTAAATCTTATTTTTCAAATAATACAATACATAATAGTTATAATTGCAACAGAAAATTATTCAGTAGGAAGAAAAGCAGGCTTTTAGCAGTACAGCTTGAGAACTTGTGATACAGGGTGATAAATTGAGCTTTTTCCCAACTGAGGTATTGCCCTGCTGCTTACGGTGTGAGTAGTAAAGAACATCATCTGTGGTGCATGTGGATTGCTCAGGTGGAAGTTTTGCCTACGCAGTTCATGACTTCGTTCAGTAGGCCAGGATGGAGAGAGGCTCTTGAGTTGTAGGTGTTCTCTCAGACATAACGTTTCTGTATCCGTAAGTTTCTGAATACTCCAAAGGAGAATATGGTTAGATGAAGAAAGGATGCACCATTTTCTTTGAAAACCTGAAGATGCATAGCTGAAATGTGTCTGCCTTGCATGCTCAGCAGGAGTGTTGTATAGACAGCGTTCATTTCTCCAGTTGTCTTCTATGTGAAAGAAACGTTTGCAATGCAAGCTCATCATGATTTACCACATAGATTTTGTTTTGCTAGTCATTCATTTTCTGGTTTTTACTGCAGATGGTTTTAACTTCTTTACTGACAACCCAGCATTCAATTATGGGGTTTGGAAGAAATGGGTGTTCAAATTAGGTGCTGGAGGTTTGGTCTGGATTAATTTCCCGAATGGAAATACAAGCATTCACAAAGTCTTTCAGATCTTTTTTCCAAAAGAAATGCAAGTTGAAATAGCTGCAATTGTATTAAAGGTGTAGTGAAACGACTGTAGAACAAGCATGAGACTTATCTGCAGAGAAGTATTTAATTTCATTTTTTTTAAAAGGCTTGATTTTTAACCTCACAGAAGAGATTTTCTTTTCAGTCCATTATTACTATTTGCAGACCTGCTCATGTTTTCTCGCAGAAGTGAAGCCTTTTGAGTAACAGACTGGCCTGGCCTCATTTACTGTTCCAGGTTACCTCTACATACTCCTTAGGAGTCTTCACACCCCTCTGGAGTTCTCAAACTGCTCTTTCAGGATCTTACAAGTATTTTCTTGGGACTCCGACTCATGTTCACTAAATAAATGTTTGTGGCACTCATAGCCTGTAACGTTGCTGCCAGAAATCAGAGCCCCTTTGCACAGTCAGGGCAGCAGAACATGTGCCTGTTCCTCAGCTGCTGCTCCTTAGTCAGGCACCATCACACAAACCTGCTTTGATCCGTGGTTTAAGCTGCTGCACCAGATGGAGCAGCGCAGCTGGGGTGCAGGCATCTGTCCCCATAGGCAAGCTTGGTTGTGGAGGGTGGAGAACATCACTGTAGTGGTTTAAGCAGTTGCTGCTCTTCAGTATCTTCCCATTTCTCGTCTGGACCAGTAGCTGTTGAGTTCTTTCTGCACAAAACTGAATTCAAAGACTTCAGATTTCAGATTTAGGAGACTCAATGCAGGAAAATCTTGAGATAGTAGTAGCAGGGTGAATCAAGTGTGTATATTTTTCTCCATATAAAACCTCTCTGGATTTGCTCCCTAAAAGCAGGAGCTTTTCCGTGCTAAGGTGCATGGGAGATTGGTGCTCTCATGAGTCCATGGGAGAATTGTGTGAACCTCTTGCTGTCTCCTTCACTTCCAGAATTTGCCTTCTGACTTCTTACTCTGTATGTTATTTCCTGGAAATGGAGGAGGTGGGCACCAGCAGGCACTTATTGAATGGAAAAGAACCAAAGCTAACCAAAAAATGACAGTTTTTCTTCATGTTTGTTCTGTGTATGTGTTAGGTGGAGATCAGTCGAAGAGTGACACTAGAAGAACTCCCCCCTGTTCTTGTTTTACACCTCAAGCGGTTTGTATATGAGAAAACTGGTGGATGCCAGAAGCTTATCAAGAATATTGAGTATCCTGTTGATCTGGAAATTAGTAAAGGTAAAGATTTTAGAATGGAATTTCCCCCTCTTTAGGGAAAAGATAACGTCAAGTTTCCTAAGGGTACGGGTTTGTGGTTCAGTTTTCTTCTTTGCTCCCAGCTTTGTGCAAGATTTCTTCTCCATTGCTTTTTGGAAACATAATAATTTGGATTAATATCTTTGATTATTTTTTTTTCTCCTTTGTATAAAAAGAATATATTTAGGTTTCTGGGTTCACCTGACATTACCTGTATTTGAGTTTTTGCAATGAATATTATGGTGAAAGATCTTAGAGCCTTTGCTACATCCTAGACCTTGGTGTGGCCAAATAAGAGCTTCCTGCGGGTTTAAGGAGTAAGGTTGTAGACTGCTGAGGACAAATACTGGAAGTGATCTTTTGAATGAGGGGTATGTCCCTGTGCAGGGCTGGTGCCAAGTAGTAGTAGATATTTTCATCTAAGTGAGAGAACTTGCACGTAATCCAGCACCTGAAGCTTGCCAAATTAAATGCGTTTTGATTTGACAGATTGGCTGTTAACCAGCCACTAATTCAAATAAGAAAAAGGAAATAAAATTAAAGATTACTCACATTTCAGGTGAAATACATACTTTGTATGTATCCTTTTGTTTTAGTTAATATTTTATTTGTAAAGTCCTTTAAAGAATAGATATTTGTAGAAGTAGTTTGACTTTCCTTGACTGACAAAAATGGTTGTGGTGTGACTTGGAATCAAACTGATTTTTGTCACTGTCAGGAATGAAGGGAAAAAAATCATTAGTCTGATCTTTTGCCCTTGTTTTTGGTCTTCATTTTTTGGGTGGTGATTCTAAACGTTACAAGTTTAGTGTTTGTCAAACCTCAAAATTCATTCTCTTGATTACCAAGGATCAACCGTGACCGTTCTCCCAAGGCTGCAGATGTTTCGATTATGTTTTATCATAGTGGTGGTTTCTTTTAGAAATAATTGATCCCTTTGAAATGGAATTTCTAAAGTTGCTAACAATTGCCTTTGTAACTCTTTTTCCTCCTCCAGAGCTACTATCTCCTGGTGTGAAAAGTAAAATTTTTAAAGGCCAAAGAACCTACCGGCTCTTTGCAGGTATTTTATCTATGTGCCTCTAGTTCCTGTATTGCAAATCCAAAGTCTGCATGTAGAATTCTAGAAACACTGGAGTTCCCTGCATTATATAAAATATTTTCCTTTACTTTGCACTGAAGTTGTTTGGGGGTATCAAATTCTTGTGTTCAGTGGATTTTTTTGCATATACACATAGATTGTTATGTTTGTATTCCTATATCTCACTGATGCAGCAGAAGCTGAAATGCAGCTGTGATATAACTGTGCCTAAAATACAGCCCGTATTCGCAGAATAATGTTTCAGGTATCTTTTGAAATGGCTGTTTGAGCACTGGCTTTGCATCCCCTTCAGCCCTCAAGACGAATATTGCTGACAGGGTATGAATAGCACATCGTAGGCGGAATAGTTTAACCTGCAGGAGATGATGGTTTCTGTGTGAGGAAATGCTGCTTTTAAGTGTCTGCGATGTATACAAAATACCTACATTGGTAGTTAGGATTGGAAGCTCATGTAAGAGTTCAGAGGCAGCATTTTAGTATCAAGCAAAAACAGTCTCTGGGCAGCAACGGATTTCACAGAATCCCAGACCGTTAGGGATTGGAAGGGACCTCAAAAGCTCATCCAGTCCAATCCCCCTGCCGGAGCAGGAACACCCAGATGAGGTTACACAGGAAGGCGTCCAGGTGGGTTTTGAATGTCTGCAGAGAAGGAGACTCCACAACCTCTCTGGGCAGCCTGGGCCAGGGCTCTGTCACCCTCACTGAGAAGAAGTTTCTTCTCCAATTGAAGTGGAACCTCCTGTGTTCCAGTTTGTGTCCGTTACCCCTTGTCCTATCATTGTTTGTCACCGAGCAGAGCCTGGCTCCATCCTCGTGACACTCACCCTTTAAATATTTATAACCATGAATGAGGTCTCCCCTCAGTCTCCTCTTCTGCAAACTGAAGAGCCCCAGCTCCCTCAGCCGCTCCTCAGAAAGGAGATGTTCCACTCCCTTGATCATCTTTGTAGCCCTACGCTGGACTCTCTCCAGCAGTTCCCTGTCCTTCTTGAACTGAGGGGCCCAGAACTGGACACAATATTCCAGATGCGGTCTCACCAGGGCAGAGTAGAGGGGGAGGAGAACCTCTCTCGACCTACAACCACCCCCCTCCTGATACACCCCAGGATGGCATTGGCCTTCTTGGCCACAAGGGCACAGTGCTGGCTCATGGGCATCCTGCTGGCCACCAGGACCCCCAGGTCCCTTTCCCCTACACTTCCTAAAAGTTTCCTAAAGTTTCAAACTCCTATGCAGTTCACGGTTTGCACCTGCTCGTTTGTGCTGGCATCAGGAGAACATCATCAAGAGGAGAGCTGCAGTGCTCAACTTCTGTGTCACCAGATCTGTGCCAGTGCTGGTGGCCTTGTGTGACTTGATGGTTTGGATCCGGTTTTGTGACACTGAGCTTACAGAAGGAGGAAACTTACCTCTTGTGGAAATTCGGGACCGTTTCTGGCAGTGTAATATTTTTATTTATAGGAGTTTTCATGAGGCAAGTTTGGGCAGCGCGTTTAAGGTGGCTTGAAGAAATATTGTTAGTGCTGTAATTTTCTCTGACTCTTTCTATGGAAAAATGCAATACTTCAGTCTTTGGTCCGTCTGGGACTTCTCCTCCACAGAAACCGAGCTTGTTAGATGAATTCTAAATTACTTAAATAAGCTTTTGAAGAATTCAGTTTCAGGTATCATCCAGGATTTCCCTAATTATCTAGCCATAAATTTTAGAACATCAGTAATTCAAGGTCAAGTTACTGTAAGAGAATTCTTTTCTAAATTCTCTAAAATGTATAGATGTAGTGTATTCTGCCTTTTTGCTGTGCTTAAGTCGAGTTATTCTCAAGCGTTTAGTTTCATAGAAACGTGAAGAAAATCAGAGTAAGCCTGAAGTGTGACTCCAGTCTGAGTGCAAAACATTGCGTATTTGCTACTTCTGCTCTAATATCAAATGTGGGAATTCTTCAGTGTTCAGCTCACAGTTTAGTTTAGAGATTACTAGGAACTAATACATATGAAACTTGTAGACTGGTACTTCAGTTAAGACTGAAAAGAATGATCAGAGGGAGAATAACTGGCCTATATTTGCAAAAGAAAAGACTTGCCTGATTTTTTTTAATAGACTACTACATAGTTTTTCCTGCTTTTTTATCCTTTTACAAATAGTTTCAATAAAATACTGTTGTCATCAGCAGGCAGAGCGAGTATGTCGCGTAGAACATCTTGCTGAGCGTGGCCGTACCTGCTGAAGCTCAGAAGGGTGTGCTGCACCATTGCAGTTGGCCTTGGTGAGGCAAATCCTTCCCAGAAAAATCCCCAAGGAAGTTTCACAATGCAATTTTTGATTCTTCTTTTACTTCAACCTCCATTTATAATGACGAGGTTTGGCCTCCATTATAATGACGATGTTTAGAAACATTACTCAGAGTACGTGGCATCAAATGTAAGCAGGCGAGCAGTGAACACTTGGAGATCCTTGCTTAATCCAGGTCATGCCACCTGCAAAACCACGACGAAAGCAACGCGTGCCAATTTTTCTTTATTTTCTCAGCGGCTGTTTCACAGAATCACAGAATCCCAGAACG